AGTGCTTGCCTAAAACTTCTGAATCTGATATTTTGGAAGACTTCTTTGCTGTGGATTTTGGACAAGATTCTGTCCCATACTGTGGATTTTATGTCATTGTATCTACTATCCATAAATAAATGGTTGGTCTCGCGTGAAGCGAGACCAATCATTAATCTATGCTACTATCTATGATATTGTGATCAAAAAAGATATATAAAAAAGTGTTTCATAATTAATTTGGTGTTCCCATTAGTACACTATTAGAAATCCTTTTATATGCTTTATTTTTGCTGTAGGCATTTTCAAATTGTTACGTACTTCTTACAGCACAGACATTGTATTCGAAGTCAATAACCCTTGTCTTTAAGTTTTATTAAGTATTTTGACGCGGTCGGTCAGTACTTACGCCCGCTGATCATACATAATAAAAATATTTTTTTTTTCGTCACTAATAACGGGACCGGTATACTTCTGTAGTTTCATTCCACGTATTTTTTATTTTGATATAAAAATACTCTTGAAAATACCCTTATAAGCCGTTAAAACTAGTTTCTATTTAATGAATGATGTGCGTGAAAACCTATGAAACAAATACTTTTATAGTTAGTTTTTGTATTACTTGGTATGATATATGACATAACCTCCAAAACTTCAAAGTAGAATATCTTTAAATCCAGACTTCCCACAATAAAAGAAATAAGACGAATCAAATCGAAAATCTAAACTCTATATTTTAACATGTAATTCATCTACAGACGCAAAAAATTTTTTCAACAAAAAATTGTATGGTCGTTCGCCATTGCCCTTTAGTATAGCGACATCTAGGACAATTTAAGGTGGCCCATTAACTATAGATGCGACAGTGCATTTATATGAACAATGCTTAAGCTAGAATTTAAGGGAAATAATACTTCGACATTTTCATGTTAAGAAACGCTACAATTTTTCATGTAGTACAAAGACTGCATGTAAACAGTTTTAAAGTAATTTTATTTTAAATATACGCATTGGATGCTTTTCAATTCTAATACAAAAAGTGATCTTATCATATACGAGTAATATTTCTTTATCAAATATCTCGCAGCCACCCGCGATTTCATCCGCGTTAGCTTAAGTTTTTTTAAAATCCTATGTCTCAATCCAGGTCATAAACGATAAGCGTACCAAATTTCATCCAAATCCGTTCAGTGGTAGTAGGTGTGAAAGCGCAACAAACAAACTCACTTTCGCATTAAAAATTTTATAATTAGGATTGAAAAGAGAGAAGCTTATCTGATATACTAACTGACCCGACGAACTCTGTACCGATTACAATAATTTGGAGGAAATTAAAGCCATCCGTTGGAAAGGAACATAGCTTTTAGTATAGTTAGAAAATATTGTTTTAAACCTTCATGGTGACTAAAATTATAGCTATTAACGGGATTGTTACCATGTGCCTTGTTTTTTATGCACGATATTTCGGCACTGTTGCAAGCGCCATAACACGGTAATATGTGGTGAGGATCACGGAGTAACTGAAGTAATTGCCGGTAGATGTTATTGGCAGAGATATCGGTCGGAGACTCATAAAAAACAAGGTACATGGTAACAATCCCGTTAATAGCTATAATAGTTAGAAAATGTTTGGATAAATTTTCCATATATTGATCTTTCAGCACTGTAACTCCCATATTTACTGCCATCTGAAGACTCATTACCTACATGGCGCTACAAATTCGATAAATGGAGTAACGTTTTATTATCAGGCGTACACGTACAAATAACTCAGTTGATCTTCCGACCCGTGAACATGCCACATATAATTGACCATGGGAAAAACATGGATTCCTAGATTCAGACCACAGACTTTCAAAGATCGGCCTTGTGATTTGTTAATGGTCACGGCGAATGCAAGATGGATCGGAAATTGAAGTTGTTTAAACTCCAACGACAAATCGGTTGGAATCATCGGGATCATCGGAATGAGATCTTCCTCACCTTCAAAATTTCCTTTGAGAATCGTTGCGTAAATCACATTGTTCATTAATATACTTACCTATCAAACGCGTTCCATTGCACTGTTTGGTTGATTTATGTTTCAAAGCATGAATACTACGGAGCCGACTAAACCTTAGTCTAACTTTAGTCTTAAATTGCGCGGTGGTAAACCAGGCGCATCCAGGAGTTTAAAAATTCAATTGGATAGTTCCTTCATTTGTTACACAGTCAATAGATTTGAATGAATATAATGTACCAATAATCTCATTCCGAATGATATAGTTTAAGTCTTCTACATCTTTATTTTTAGCTACTAAAATTGCTCGGTCACTCAACCATTCATTATTTGTATGATTAGTAATGATGTTTGGGAATACTATGTTGATAAGTTCATTTTTCGATGAGACAAAGTTACAGAAATTATGAGGAAATGAAATTAATTCGCTCGATTTATCGACAGGTATTCTATCATTACCGATAGTTAGCAATTGCTCAGAAAAATCTTCAGTAGATGTATCATCATTCAGCAATGCAACTCTCATATTTATTGTCAGCTGAAGTTCTCCACATAGTGAAATATATTCGATGATTTATTTTTTTATCAAACAATGTTATAACACCCTAATACCCAGTAGTTAATTAGGTATTGTTCTGTGGCTGGGCTAGGTACCAAGATCCAAGATATAGTACCACTTGCACAATTTCTAGACGACATTTTAATTATAATAGAAGACGAATAAAACACTATATAAAATTTTATTAGAAAAAAATCCACGCGGACCAGGCAGCGGATGGGACTCGAACCCGCACCCTTCGCAATCCGGGCGAATGCACTGACCAATTATGCTACCACAGCCCTGATGGCCGCGTCGAATTTTTCCTAGCCTTAAGCTGCAAGGCAGCGCCATCTCTTTGCATTGTAGGTAGCCCACAATGTTTTTTAGATTTAAACATCTAGCAGTTAAATGCTTAAAAATAAATAAAAAATAACTATATTAAATGTTTTTATTTTATTTTAGACATCCTTTCCCTATCTCTTTACCTGTTACCTATCTATTGCTTGAAGTCGTTGACGTTCATTCATATATTTTTTCCAACATTTTCTAGTAAATATTATAACAATTAGTGCAAAAGATCACATTTTGCACTTCAGGAATCGGCTGTTAGTTAAAGATTGTAACATACACCTTACTTTTACTCGATCTCTTATATCTCTGTTCTCAGATTGACAATATCCGCAGAATTTTCAGTGAAAGATTGATAATATATAAGCTATTAATTGACACTACTTTCATCTTCTTACACCAAGGCCCAAGATTGTAACTAGCGGCCGCCCGCGACTTCGTACGCGTGGAGTTAGTTAGAAATAAAGATTTACTGCTCGTTCCCCGTAGGTGATAGCGTGATAATATGTATTTAGCCTATATTTTGACCCGACTTCTTAATAATATTCGTGAGAAATTTGAAGTAAGTCCATGCAGTACTTTTAGAGTTAATGCCGGACATCGTAATCGTTTCAGTCTCCTTTATGATAAACCAAATTTAAAAAAAAAACGAGCCAATAAAATATTTTTATGAATATATTCGCAAACTGGGTACTTGGAGTATATAAATCTGCAGAGATATCCAGGGCAACAATAAAAATATGTTTTTTTGTTGAGCTGTGTCATTATTTAAATAAAGGAATTACACAAAATTGTGATCATCATAAAAAATATATTCATACACTAGAGTCTTCAGTCTATAGTTTGATGGTACGATAAACGAATCTTTTGGTTATATTCAAAGGACATTGGGCAAATATGTATGGACGTTGCACCCACGTCCGCCACGACTTAAACTACATTTGTTTGAAAGGTATTATAGTCAAGATTATCTGTGCCAAAGCGCATCGAATTCCATCCCGGGAGTCTTTAGTTATTTTAAGTTAAATAGGTACAAGTGCTATAACGAACGAACATTAATAAAACAAGGGAATTAATTTAGTTAGTTAGTTCGATACCACTACATAGGGGGCTCAGATATTATGGGAGTACTTCACAAAGTTCAAGGGTGCCCCATTATGTTATTCTGCCGCACTAGAGTTAATCCAAAAATCCCCGCATGGGGTTTGAGTTGGGGTTTTTTCAAACATTCTGTTCGTTTTAGTAAATTGTCTTCTTTGTAAAACGGAGCGACCACAAATCACCCAAACTTGTCCACGCTTCGGAGAAAACATGATTCCAGTTCATCCATACTAATTGACAAAACCGATAAATGTGTTCTAATGTCCAAAGCGTGTTAGATAAAAATCAATCAAGTGACAGGGAGCGCACAATCGCAACGAAGTAAGACGAGTCGACTATTTGCAACTGCAAGTCCTCCGTTTTGAGGTGGCTCAGTAAGTGTAAGCGCAGGATGGATCGACAGGCTTTGTCGTATATCTGGTTGTATAGTACGATACGGCATATTATTATGGTTACTAATAATATAAAATAAAGGTACTATAAAATGAATTTATTTAGCTACTTAAATATGATAATCTATTGACTACCAGGATATTTTTTACGGTGTCATAATAAAAAAGGCTAGTTTTTCATAGATCTATCGATTCATACTAATTACATTGTTGGCGGAGCTGGGTGCGTTTTGCCCATTGTCCTTTTTCAGTATCTCAAAAAATTTTATTGGCGCGTAACCGCAACGATATAACGCAATAACTGCAACACGGTCTTCTTTAAGCGTCCACTCAATATTTAAAAAGAAGTAAAATTCTAAAAAGTATACATTTTATTTTCATGAACAATTCGAAATTGTGGCCAGCATTCTAAAAGAAAAGTTTTTACTGTGTGACAATACTTATGACCTGACTTAGCTACGTCTGTGACGGGCTTAAACTATTCTATGTCACACATTACAATCAAGGTCACGTCAAATTGATAACGTTTAAATTAATGCTCATTAACTACTATTTACGGCTAACGACATGTTAAATAAAGGAATTACACAAAATTGTGATCATCATAAAAAATATATTCATAGTATGTAATAACTTTTGCACCGGATGTATGCCGTCAACCGTTTTGCGTTTTTCTGTAGGCTTTCAGTATAAATATGGAGGCTGATTTTTTAGTTCGCTACAACATTTTCAATTTTAGAAAATGAAACTCTTGGCATTCGTACTTGCTCTGCTGGCTATGGCCTTGGCCGTTGTGGTGAGTTCAAGTGCAACTATTATGAAATTTTAATCAAATTAAATTAAATTTTAATTTTTGATGACCTCCGTTTCCCGGTGGTTTGTACGCCGGGTTTCATGGTGTCGCCGGCGGGGTAGATATTTGTGTGATGAATACGAGCATTTGTACTCCAGTCATGGATGTCTGATGTGTATTTTTTATATAAATATAAATATATTTGTATCAGTATATGTAATGTAACCGTTACCCTAGTATCCCATAACGCAAGCCTTATAGTACTTACTTTGGGGCTAGGCTAATTGGTGTGTGTTGGAAAAAAATATTTATTTATTATTTATTTATCTTATTATATAATTATATATTATTTATATAATTTGTTGTTTAAAAAATCAAACATTATATAAAAGCATTGGTGGTTCAGTGACTCGCCTGCTACGCGGGCGGGCCAGATTCGATTCCCAGCCGAGGAAGCACGTTCTTTTATCAATGATTTTTAAAATTTCACTTGCATTGTGAGTTCGTGAAATCACATTATCATTTGACTAAATATTTTTCATTTGTGAAAGCAAAGGGTAATTAATATCCTATACATTCAAATTCACGTAAATAAAAAAATAAAGATTTTCTATTTTATTTTATTTTAATAGGACTACTTTCCACGCTTGTTTGTGGCAAGCTTTTTATCTTGTTTAATTGAATAAAATGTAAAGTTTCTTGGTGTTATATTTTTTCAAGCCTTTTTGTTCAGGCTCTCATATAATTCTCAGTATATATTTATTCGTACACTATTATCATTTCTACGCATCATATTAACATAATGAAATGAAAATGGTTGACTTCTCCTACTATCAAAAGAGCTGATAATATGCGGATTTTTTTTTATCTTTACTAATATTATAAAGCTGCAGAGTTTGTTTGTTTGTTCGTTTGAACGCGCTAATCTCTGGAACTACTGGTATGATTTGAATGATTCTTTCAGTGTTGGGTAGTCCATTTATCGAGGAAGGATAAAGTCTATATTTTTTTTCAAAATTAGGGATCCGTAATAAAATTGCTATTTTGTAACACAAGGTGTAAAATCGAAAACCTATTTTTGCGTGTGCTGCAAAAACTATTGACAATAGAACAAAATGATGTATTACGGCTTTGTAGATCCCATTAAGACCTACAAAAAAGTCCGCGAGAACATATATCTAGCTATCATGGTTTAATCACAATAACCGATTTTGTGTTCAAAATAATTACTAAATCGTCTGAAGAAAAAAAAACTACGTTAAATATGTATCGTAATATTAAAAACACTAACAACCCTTAATTTTCACCCCTCTAACACCCATAGTTTTATGGCGATACGAAGTTCGCTGGGTCAGCTAGTCATAAATAGGGCGTTATGTGATATAAGTCGCGACACGAAACTCTAGCGCTGACCGTTATTGCGCAGAAGTAAAAATTAAGATGTGTTGGGGGGAAACGAGGTGCGCGGGTGGGCGTGCGATGCGTCGATTGGCTCTCAAGTCGTACTCATGCGCAGCTATTCCTGACGGGTTTTGTTAAGCGATAGAATTACGTGCCTCCTGTAACCTCCGTGGCGCGAGTGGTATGTACACCACGTTTCAAGGTGTCGCCTACTCTATAGAACCTGGGTTCGAATCCCGATGGGGCAAATATTTGCATATATGAATACGAGAATTTGTATCTCGATCATTGTATTTTTACATTAACAGCCTGCGCTACGTTAAGCGGGAGTACGAAGAGAGCGTCCGCTCGGCGTGCAGTTTTTATGTCATTTCAAAAACCAGCAGGAGACCCGCCTCACGCAGCGCAGGCTCTTATAAATCTATCAGCATTATGTATATAATTGCTATTTCTTCTTTCAAATGTTTAATACTTGAAAAAGTATTCATTTGACATTGTGGGTTACCTACAATGCGAAGAGATGGCGCTGCCTTGCAGCTTAAGGCTAGGAAAATTTCGGCGCGGCGAATAGGGCCGTGGTAGCATAATGGTCAGTGCATTCGCCCGGATCGCGAAGGGTGTGGGTTCGAGTCCCGTCCGTTGCCTGGTCCGCGTGGATTTTTTTCTAGTAAACTTTTCTTTAGATTTAAACATCTAGCAGTTAAATGCTTAAAAAATAAATAAAAAGGTAAGCATTATGTATTTTATACGTTTCTCTAATATTCCATAACACAAGCCACAGTGCTTACTTTATGGTGAAATATTTACTGGAACGAAATTATATTGTGTTGGGAGAAATATTTAATGGCACTTGTCCGCTGTTTCGTAGCGTATTTTAAGCATAGAACAGGGAGAAAAAAGCAGCCAATGCTGAGTTTCTTGCCGATTATTCTCAGTTCAAGGTCTCCCGCCGTAGTTTTGCGAACCGATGGCGTAGTTTTCGACTTTCACATGTGCTTGTAAAAGCTTAATCTGAACAAATGATTTTTGAGTAGAATAGAATTGAATAGTTGTGTACTGTGTTTATTTTAACTTGGCTCCAACCGAGTGTTCCACGACACTCATGTTTTTGTACATAAGTTTCTTGCTATGTAATATATCCTAGAGCGGCATGGCCACCGGAGGCGCATCAGCGGGTATCCGCGAAGGCAAGGAGAAAGCTCCTTGCTGGGGCAACGGGGCGCCACAACCACCACCTACCAGTAAGTATTTTTCGTTACGTAACGCGTTACGGCGCCGGTCTGTCTGACTTCCCTTCGCTCTTTCCACTCTCGAATCCCCTTTTCACCCTCGAATCCCCTTTACAGCATCCAATCCCCTTTTCACCTACCAATCTCCTGTGCTCAAAAAAGGATAGTTTAAGTTATCACTTCTATCGTGCGTCCCCAGACGCACACGCGTTTTTCTTCTACGACGGATGGGGAGAAAAAATTAATTGCGCAAGCCATGCATGCGTGGTACATTCGGCCGGTGGAAAGCATGGTGCTGCTCTTCTACGTAGAGCTGCAGACTGCTGACCGTCCGCGGTCGCAAAAGGGGCATTCGCTCATGCAAGCATAAGCGACTACCCCCAGCAATTTAACGGTACAGTAGAGGTCGAGTCATTTGCCAATCTGGCTATATAAAAAAAAATGGGTGCGTGTACTTATGTAGGCGCGTGAGAAGTTATCCTTCTTTGGCATCGTTTAAAATTAGTTTTTAATTGCATGCAAATAATTAATAACAATAAATTAATAAAACGTCTGGAAAAGGACACAGTCAATAAAGTTCAGTTTTAATTTGAAAAAATAAATAAATAATCAAAATATTCAATTAAAATCGCTACTGAATATAATTTATTAGAACATAATATGTGATTTGCACTTGTATGAAACTCAAACACGTATTCCGAATATACAAACTAGAAACATGTGGATAAATATTATAAATATGAATACCTATAACTGTTACTTTATTACAAAAAATAAAGATGTGGTTTTTGGTTCTACTACACCAATGGTCAAGAGATGGCGCTGTAGTCTCCTGAATCGCGCTTTGGTTCCGTTGTTCCAGATTAATAAATACTTTTTGTTACTTTATTACAAAAAATAAAGATGTGGTTTTTGGTTCTACTACATCAATGGTCAAGAGATGGCGCTGTAGTCTCCTGAATCGCGCTTTGGTTCCGTTGTTCCAGATTAATAAATACTTTTGATAGGCCTTCACAATGCAGTCGTTAGCACCAACAAAATAGAGATTCTATTTCTATTTTGTTGGTAGATTTTCTTAATGTGCGGTAAACACAAAAGTAACAGCATGAAGTTGGTCGCTTTAGTGACCAACTTCATGCTGTTAATTTTTTGTGTTACCGTGATGCGCGCGCATCTTAACATTTCACTCTCATCATTTTTTCATAACACGCCTAAAGAAGTATAACTTCAAAAATCAAAAGAACTGATGAACTGCTCCACACCTATTGAGAAGTCATATTGATCTCTCAACATGAAACTGACAAGCGTTATGAATTCATGTTGTATGATACAAACATATTGCTATAGTATAGTTACCTTATGCTCGATAATGATCATGATGGTCTGCCAGACCGCGAGTATAAGTTGTTTTTTGGTGCTGTGGCTTTCTCCGTTTTACACAGAAATTTCGCCAATGTCCAATAGTGAGAGAGACACCAGAAAGACTACTCGGTAGAAACAGATTATGGTGGTATAAAGTAAATTACCGACTATACGTTCTTCCTTGAGCGTTTAAGTGTTTGTGTCTGAAATGGCAAGAAAGGAGTGTTTGCTCCGATTTTGATATCTGGTACCCCTGGCCACTTACCCACGATGGGTAAGTTAACAGGTTCCATTAATGTAAAAAATTAAACCCCTACCTCCTTTTTGTTTCAGATTCTACTGGCTGAATAATATGCATTCAAACCATACCTCTGCTGCTTTTGTAAAAGGACCCCGATTTCGAAAATAAATCTAATCACTTGAAACGTATTTTTATTTGGATGATCACAGTCACGGAACAGAACGAACAAGTGGCCGTGTGAAGTAGACATGGCGCGCGTATCTGATACTACTTAACTCCTCGTATTTTTTTACGATTTTAGATTTGGATCTTTTGCTTTAGGAAAATAACCACAGATGTGTTCAAGTTCTTCTTCTTCATCGTCGTTTTCTCATGACTGAGGGTCGTGACCTTTCAGTACAGCAGGTTTTGATATGACTGTCTAGTTCTTTCTCGCTTACGTCTCAGTCCATCGAGTTCTGGTTTTGCTGATCCATCCGAATTTCTCACGGTCGCCATTATGTAGGAAATCTATAGCTGTGATAATATTCCCTAAACCATAGATGAATAATTCGTCTCGCTTCACAAGCGAGACCCATCATTTATCTATGCCCTAAACTATGAAATGTAAACTAATACTTTTTCTTTTTTGTTCTACACCAAGTATTTTTTCGATATAATGTGACACTATCTAATCGCAATAGCAACAACCTATAATAAACCATAAATAACGAAAATATATTCTACAACATATTTTGAATCGATCTCCTTGAGTCAAATGTTGATAAGTGCAGTAATGATTTTCACTATATGCATATTAATAGTGATTTCTGTAAAGCCTAGTGCAGGTATTAACTTTACCTCATACTTTAGACATTGTTGACAGCAAAAATATAGTAACTGTAGCCGCTGCCTATACTAACAATGTAAGATTACTTGTTTATTTATTTTATGTTCTAAATTGTGTAGTAGAAGGTGACTTCATGAATTATCTCTAAAGTAATTTTTCAACTTGACGACTCTGTGTATAATACAGGTAAAAAAGTATAAGGTCTCCCGCCGTAAATATGCAAACCGTTGGCGTAATGTTTTGACCTTCACAAGTGCTTGCAACAGCCTTGACTGAATAAATTTTTGATTTTGGTATTGACTGGCAAAAACTTATTTTGCGAGGCTTTCATTTGCATATACGTTACATTTAATGATTCTAACATGAAGTTCTTTCTTGCATCCAGTCTGCATCTGCTTTCGTCAGTCATGGTGGTGAGAAGATTAATTAAAACGATATAAATTTTAAGGAATTGTTTTATTTTCTACGCATTTAATTTGTATTATGCTTCTGTTTTTAAACAGTCAAATTTCCAATCTAGATTTAACTAATTAAAAAAGCTAACCGTGCACCCACATTTCACAAACACCCATCCAATCAAAAAAAACGTTTTAAACCCATACCTTTGACAATCTGAAACCTTAAACACAAAGCTTAATAATTATATTATCGTCTTAACTAACAGTCAACGAGATTAACGTAATTTTCAGCATTAGATAGATAAGTTTCACAATGATTCATCTTATTATATGTCTCCAGAACATCTTTTTCCAAATATTGATTGATAAACGAAGCGCATCTTAAATCTTGCAGCACTTGAGCGAATGGTAGGGTTAGTTTATGAACAACAACTTCCTGCTTACTAAATTTCTGTAGCGTTCTATACGCTCCATCATTGTCAGAACTATTTGGTTGAAGAAAAACAATTTTAGATTGAAGCTGTGACACTCGAGGTTCGTATTGCAGGGCTTGCTTGATACGATAGTAAGGGGATGTAAGACTCAGGCGCGTGTAGTGAGCTGAGAGTGAAACACATCCAAGCAAATTTCTAACGCACAATTCGATACGGTCCTCCATTTCTACGATTTCCTCAATTTCTAAGCTTAGTTCCGTGCCACATATAAGCTTATACATATGCTTCAAAATTGCCGTTTGCAATTCTTTATCGTTTTTATATTTGTGAACTTCTGTTTGAAGAATGGTTCTGAATTCATCCGGTGTAGCTCCGATTAAGTATATTGTGCCCGAGAAGCCTGCGAACGAAAAACATAGTGATAAAATTGTTAATCCAGGTATAACGTTTACTAATAAATAAATAATTTATAAGTGACTTAAAACTAGCAATCATGCCGTAAAAGTTGAATAGCAAATCGCAAATAAAGTGACACGTGTCACAAATATGGGTTAGAACTCTTGTCATTACGAGACTTAATTAGTTTTTAACTTAGCAGCCCGTATTACATTTATGGACTGAACAGTATATAGATAAAACAGAAAGTTAGGACGCTCTGTCGATTAAGGGCCCGTGGTCCCACCGGTTTGTCCTACTGGTAGGATCAAGGTATACTACTATGTACCCATGGTTTCACCGCGTTAGGGCGATTAATGAGGTAGGTATCGATGAATGTCTGTCTTATGTTAATCATTCTATTTAAATTAGTTGTTAAGTAATGAAAAGATATTGTCCTAATACAATTATTGAATGAATGAATGAATTAATTTGTATTTATTTAATGTTCGCTTCTGACTGACAGTCCATATTGTCCTATTACTAAAATATTTTTTTTTGCCTTTGCCCGATAATTCGCTTAAAAATGTCAAAACAAACAAGTTTTCCGTTGTAATGGGAATGCGTGATTGCATTAAGGACCTTTCTAATAACAAGGAAACTGTGTTAATATGAAGTAAACATATTTGAAAATTGATTTCTATTTTCAAAACAATAGATGGATAAAATTGAAATAAATGGTAATGACATATAAATTAATTTCGAAATCGTAAATGTAACAGAAACTCTTTCGATTACTTGAAATTATAAAAAAAAATGGTTGCCTGTAAAGTCGGTTTTACGGGCGAAGATTTTACGTGACAACGTCTTTTTCTCGGTAGAATATTTATTGATATGAATATAATTAAATTGCACAATAGGAACAAGGAATTGAATGAAAATAAGAATTGCACAAATTTTAACTATAGAAATATATTTTGTTTACTAAAACATTGTACATGTAAACTTAAACTTAACACGAGAGACTCATCGTAACGTTACCGAGCGTTACACTTTTTCATAAGTGACTCCCAGCCGCAACCTAATTTAAGACGTTGTCACGTCAAAATGGTGAACTTATAGACTTTTTAGTCACAGAAAGATGGAAAAATCTGTCACATCAAATATAGAAAATAATGAGTTTGTTTTCAGGGATCAAGTTTAAGCAAAAATGTACCTTGTTGTTTTGAAATGGTTGTAACAAAATAAGTTCTGGCAGGTAAACCATACAAAATGTCATTGAGAAATTGCATATGTTTTATGCTCACCATGCTTCTCTAAGATAGCTGCAGTTTCAAGGGCGATCAACACGCCACTTTCGTATCCCAACAGATAAAAATTATCTTTTACTGATATCGTCTGCATGAGGATCTGAAACAAACGCACATCTAAATATATAAAAGAAGAAACTGATTGACTGACATATCAACGTACAGCCCAAACCGCTAGGTCTAGAGACTCCAAATTTGGCACGTAGGTTCCTTGTGAGGTGTAAGGGTGCACTAAGAAAGGATTTTCCAAACTTCACCCCCCAAGGGGTTAAAATAGAGAATGAAAGCTTCTATGAAAAATCTTATTTCTTGAGTTAATTAGACTTGAAACTTGGCAAGAATACTTATCTAAATAAATTCATATTATTGTCAAAGTTTCAATAATCATTTTAATGGCATATAGCAATTTTCTACAAAGTATCATTGTTTCATATGTGATTCTGGTAAAATACGTAAGGTTAGTAAGCAATATGTGTACACACTAAACATTTACATTAAAGAACAGAAACATTTTAATGAATAATATTGTATAGACAAAATAGTTGAGAGATTTATTGGCAATCAAATTAATGAATATTTAAAAATTAATAAAATAATCAATAATCAACAATTCGGATTTCAAAAAAACCGGAACACAACGCAATTACTTTTAAAATTTACAAATGAAATAAATTCTTATTTAAATAATAAAAAACACGTGATGGCTATATTTGTTGACTTCAGTAGGGCATTCGATGTTTTGCGGTATGATACGTTGTATAAAAAATTATCACAGAATGGAATTCAAGGTCATTTACTAAGCTTGTTACAAAACTATCATCGAAATAGATTTACTACTGTAAAAGTGTCGAATGCTTTGAGTAATATGATACCTACTACCTCTGGCACAGCTCAAGGGTCAATCCTAGCCCCCTTGGAATATTTACTTTACGTGAATGATATGCATCGTGTCTTTCAGGATTGTTCGGTATACCAATTCGCAGACGACACATGTCTGATTGCTGCGCATGATGACATTAACGAGGTAGCGAGGCGCATACAGCATAACTTTAATCTATTATGTATGTGGGCACACGATACGGGTCTATTCCTAAATGCACAGAAAACTAAAGCTATGCATATTCGTTCAGCGCACAATAGGTACGATTGCCGGCCCACCCTTATCGCACACGATCATAATTGCTTACATCGGCGCGTACACATACCACGAGGTCTTGTCAATGCGAACAACTGCAGTTTGTTGACACTCACAAATACATAGGTATCGTTATCGATCAGCGGTTTAACTGGAGTTCACATATCGAATATATCACTGACAAGCTACGGTCAATATTGAGCAAAATGACAATTCTTCGATATAAGTTGCCAATGAGTTCTCTACGATTGTTTTATATTTCTATGGCGGATTCCTTAATTAGTTATGGGTTGAGTAGTTATGGCAGATCCTGTAAAACAAACTTGCAACAGATATATAGTTTACAGGTTAGTCTAATCAAAACTTTTGTACCAAAGAAAATACGCCTCAAACTAAATCTAAATAACGAAAGTTTATTCCAATACTGTAATATTCTAAATATTTTTGATAAATTTAAACTTGTAACATTAACAGACGAATACCATAATAAACATTTAATCACATTGAGAAACCGATCTAGTAACTTAAGACAACTAGATTATACAGATACCTGCATGATCCCAAATTATAATAATTTATATGGAACAAGGGTGTGCCAATATATATTACCAAAAATTATTAACGAGCTACCTACAGAACTACAATTATTGTATACTACTTGTAATAACATTTGTAAAATAAAAAATAAACTTAAAAAACACTTTAACAGTAATTCAGGAGGAATTACAGCAATATGTATA